GCCATAACAATTACACAAGAGGAAGAAATAAAAGGCATCCAAATTGGAAAAGAAGATGTAAAACTGTCATTATTTGCAGATGACATGATGCTATACATAGAAAATTCTAAAGACTCCATCAAAAAATTATTAGACTTAATAAATGAATTCGGCGATGTAGCAGGATACAAAATTAATGCCAAGAAATCTATGGCATTTTTATACCATTAGTGAACTTTCTGAAAGACAGATTAAAAAAATAATCCCGTTTACCATCACACCAAAAATATTAAGATACCTAGGAACAAGCTTAACTAAGGAGGTAAAAGACCTGTACTCAGAAAACTACAGGACATTGAAAAAAGAGATAGAGGAAGATATAAACAGATGGAAGAACATACCGTATTCATAGATTGATAGAATCAACATCATTAAAATGTCCATACTACCCAAAGCAATCTATAGATTCAGTGCACTCCTCATTAAAATACCAATGGCATATTTCACAGACCTAGAACAAACTCTCCAAAAATTCATCTGGAATAAAATAAAATAAAAAGACAATGAATAGCTGCAGCAATCCTGAGAAAGAAGAACAAAGTAGGAGGGATCTCAATACCAGATATCAAGCTGTATTACAAAGCCACTGTTCTCAAAACTGCCTGGTACTGGCATAAGAACATACATGTAGACCAATGGAATAGAATAGAGAACCCAGAAATCAACCCAAACCACTATGCTCAATTAATACTTTTATGTTTTAACATTTTTATATTTCATGAAAGTTATGCATATGCCAACTTTAATCCAGTCCTATTGAAAGCAAGTTAAGTTCTCCATCAGAAGATTGACTTCCATCATTGTTTTATCCAGTTGCGCAAGAAACTCCATTTGTAGAAACATATATGATGTTTCTCACACCATTGGCCAGAGTCCAAAAACTGCTTGATAAAGAGTAGTGACAACAAGAGCACAAATAGCAATTGATCTCCTTGGATACCAGGTGCTTCAGTAGTCACTGGAAGAGCCATGTCCTTGCTGTGATATAGATCCACCTCAAGACCTGGGTGGATATGAGCGCTTGTGCAGCTGAGCTGTTTGGGTCAGGCATGTTGTTCATTGGTGCACCCTGGTTTCAGCCTTGGCCTCAGTCTTGGCCTGGGGTGCAACTGCAGGGGTCCCCAGGCTGAGTTCATCATCTACTATGGCTTCCCCAGATACCACTCATACTTTTAACTCATCTATACTTTTATATTTAAAGTGGATTTCTTAGCGTTAGCATATAGTTCAGTCTTGATTTTTATCTCTAATATGAAAATCTGACTCTTAATTGGTATTTTTAGACCATTTACATTTAATGTAATTGCGGGTACGGTTGTACTATATCTCCCATCAGATGGTTTTCTATTCATTCCATCTCTTCTGTTTTACTTTTCCTTTTATGTCTTTATTCATATTACTTATTTTTTATGATTCCATTTTATCTCCAGTATTGACATATTATTTGTGCTTTAAAGTGTTCTTATTGTCAGCCTTAGAGTTTATACTATGTATTTTAATTAATCACAGTCTACTTTTAAATAATATTATACCACTTTACCTAAGTGCATAATTTTCTTTTTACAAAGCCATGACTGCTCTTAGAGAAAAATTATGATCTAAAATATTATCTGGATTCATTGCTGTGGTGATAGAACATTTCACAATTCTTTTTTTCTTATTGTATCATCAACATATTTATAGGCAGACTATAGAAATATATATATATATAAATGCAATCAAAGTGATTGAGAAATGAAGGGTCATCATTGTTGGTAATGTTCATATGGTCTTAAATTTTACCAACATGACATACTAAAGAATAGTTAATTATTTGCCTTTTATTTCCAAATAGATATCGCAGCTGTAGAAGAATGGATAGTAAGAATTTATTTACAACATGGATTAAATACTTACACTACTGAAGGAACACTATTGGATACAATCCGAGGTAAATGCCAGCAGATAAAAGTAAAATGGGATTTGTAATGTTCTCTCAACAAATCTTGTAACCTACTTAATGCCTAACTCTGTGCTAAGTACTAGAGAGAAATAATTAAGAAATGATCATGACTCTGAAGGGCTCCCCATCCTAATGAGGCAAAGAATTACAAACATGTGGGTGACTGTTAAGAGAGTGCTATAAAGGGTGCTATAGAAATATGGAGATGGGTTTTCTCTACAGCCACAATGCAGGTCATAATAAACAATGGCTTTCCAAAGTTAGTTCTTACATCTTTTATAAAGATGTTTTAGAAGATACTGTTCATTGCAGCAGTCTTCTTTAGGAGGACCATCAGCAAAATTTCTTGTTCAGTCTTAGTAAGAACATTTCTATTTTTTTTTTCATGAAAAATCGGTTGTTTAATTTTAAGGTCATAAACGCTGAGTGATATAACTGACTAGGTTTCTTTTTCCCAGTTGTCGGACTCGTAGCCCAATTTTTAAATCACCTATAACGCTACAGTATAAATTTTTTAAAGACCCTCAGTCCTAGATTTTGTAGTTATCCTCACTTTCCTTTTTACTTTTATTCATTCACTCCCACCTTAACAAGGTGCTATGCGGAGTAAACATAAATAGTACATTTTATGAACAAGATCACCTGGGTAGCTTTAAGAAAAGTAATGATGTCTGCACCACCCCTTAGACCAGTGATGGCGAACCTTCTGAGCTCGGCGTGTCAGCATTTTGAAAAACCCTAACTTAACTCTGGTGCCGGGTCACATAGAGAACTTTTTGGATGTTTGCAACCATAGTAAAACAAAGAACTATATTTTTGATATTTATTTTGTATATTTAAATGCCATTTAACAAAGAAAAATCTACCAAAAAAAATGAGTTCGCGTGTCACCTCTGACACGCGTGTCATAGGTTCGCCATCACTGCTTATACCCCAACTAAAACCTCATCTCCGTAAGTGGGGCCAGGCATCTGTTGTTAAGAATAAACACTTTCTGCACAGCTGGTTCAGATGTGCAGGGCTGCTCTAGAGAAGAGGTTGCATAGGTACCAGGAGACATGTACAAATCTATTTCATGCGACATTTTTTATAATAAGAAAGATGGAAAACAACATAAATGTACAGCGATAGGGAAAGGACAAATACATGTGGTATGTCCTGTTAAAACGAAGTAAATAGACCATCTATGTCATTGAGAACAGACCTCAAAAACATTGAGTGAAAAATCAAGTTTCAGAATAAAGTAGGAAAGCATTTATCTAAAATTCGGGAAATCCATGCCCAGCCATTGTTGCTCAGTGGTTGAGCATCAACCTATGAACCAGGAGGTCACGGGTTCGATTCCTGCTCAGGGCACATGCCTGGGTTGTGGGCTCGATCCCCAGTAGGAGGCATGCAGAAGGCAGCCCATCAATGATTCTCTCTCATCATTGATGTTTCTATCTCTCTCTTGTCCTCTCCCATCCTCTCTAAAATCAATTTTATATATATTTTTCCAGGAAATTTATTCAGGAAATAAAGCAATGCGGTATCTTGTTCATGGTTACATATATATTGTAGTGAAAAAATAAAAGCATGGACTAGAAATGCACACAGCAATTTCACAATAGTGGTTGCAAATGGGGAGAATTTGGGAATGGGGCTGTGGAGGGGAGCAGAGGTATCTTCAACAATATCTGCATTATTTTATTTCTTTAACCAAAAGGAACATATCTAAAACAAAAAGGACAAAATGTTGTCTTTCTTGTTGTCATAGTGTCCAAGATTTTTATAAATAGCGAGTCAGTTGTTCAATAGTCATTGCAAGTCTTTGAGACTGTGATATTTTGTCTTATGCTACTTTTAAATACTAAAATAACAACATAAAGTTCTTTCCATTTAAAAAATAATCTGAAATCAGAATCATCTACGTATTGAGATGTACCCAGAGTATTACATGCTGCATTAAAAACGAATATACACTTATTTAGAGTGTACAGAACTTAACAAATGAGTAGTTCTTCTTTATTTTTTTTATTTTTATTTTTTTATTGTTTAAAGTATTACAAATAGTATATATGTCTCCTTTTTTTCCCAATTGACGTTCCACCAGCCTCCCCACACCCTCCTAGTGTCATGCGTCCATTGGTTATGCTTATATGCATACATACAAGTCCTTCGGTTGATCTCTTACCCACTCCCTACCCTCCCCGGCCTTCCCGCTGTAGTCTGACGTCTGTTCAATGCTGCTCTGCCTCTGTATCTATTTATCTATTTCAGTTTATGTTGTTCATTATATTCCACAAAAGAGTGAAATCATGTGATATTTATCTTTCTCTGACTGACTTATTTCGCTTAGCATAATGCTCTCCAGTTCCATCCAT